AACTCCTCGGATATTTACTTTCTGCTCGGGCGGGAGGGCCTCGACGGGCAGATGAGTCAGGCACCTGTCAAGCCCTCCGCCCGGTCTCGAGCCCAAGCGCCGACTGGTAGTCGGTTGGCCGTCGCCAGAAAGACCGTCCACTACGAGGCCCTGTTTCGGCGTTAGCCGCAGGTACCAATCGGCGTTGTCAATTTGCCTTGGACAGCCTATCCACTCATCATCGGGCCTCTGCTAGGCCTCAGCAACCCGTTGTCTTCGGCCTTTTGTAACTAAGTCAAATGGGTCCACGTGACACCAGACGAAAGGAGGATAAAGTGTGCTACAACACGTGTTGCCAAGTCGTCATCTGCCTAAATCCGACTCAACTTAGCCTTGAACACTTAAAAGCACACTTGATCGGCATTGCCGACCAGCACTGAAAGGTACTTCTGCGACCGAGGAAATTAATAGTTAAAGCAAGTTGCTACTGCGATTAGTATCGATTGACACAGTCTATCATACAGATAATCAAGTAATCATACAACGCATCTTCTATTTTTATCTCTTTAGCTCTCGCTCTCTCCGTAATAACACAATTATTGGCTGCAATATTTTTTTTTCTTTATCAGCTATAACTAAATAGCGCATGTAGTCTCAAAGGCTTCGTTGTAACTCTCTCTCTCTCTCTATATATATATATATATTTATATTTATATTTATATATATATGCGTTTGAGTGTGTTAATTTTTTCAATTTTTATTAATTTCCTTTCTTTTACCCCCAATTCTGTCTTTTTCACTCGGCACCTCGCCATGGCCTCAATTGTGCTGGATTCGAAGAGAGTGATCGAGCCTTTCACTTGAAAGTGCCCTTTCTGTAAAGAGCAAATAAGACATGATGAAAAATGCGCTTGACGCCACTAGAAACGACTGGCCAGGGTTGCTGGTCGCCTGGACGACGATGAGGTTTCATGTTGGGTCACTTGGGGCGATTGTGTCGGATAACTGGGCAAGAGGAGAAATCACATCTTTGCCGCCGCTTTGTGCTTCGAACAAGTTATTAAGGTCGTGCAAACAAGGCTACAGACATGAGTATTTTGCAGAATTATCAGACAATTTTTCATAAAATCTAGAATCACTCATGTAGTATCGTGAACAAGATAGGGGTAATATCTCCATTATAAGTAAATGATATATTGCAAGTCTTTTAAGCTACTTATAAACGAAAATAAGTAGCATAGTCGATTTTAATAGCAAGCACAACTTAGCCTACCCAATAATCCCACCATAAAAACTTGGTTTTCTTTGAAATTCACATCTGCCCTGTGTCCTAAAGGCGCTCGTGGAAATGTGGCGTAGTGATTAATGTGGCTGGGTTCGAATCCCGCCCGGGGCATTGCTAAGACCAGTTCAGGCGAGGTTGAAACTTCCATCCAGTTCGGTGAAATTAAATGGTATTATGAATGTTATTCAACAAATTGGAGGGACATTTAACTACCAGTCCTCCCTCACCTTAAATGAAAAATGGGGAATCCCTCTTATATAATGAGTCTTCGATTTGGCTTGCTGAGCAGCTGAAGAATTCCCATTTTTGCCACTGCTATGCGCATTGAACATGTGAAAGGCCATACAGATTTATCTTCTGGGCTATCAGTAAATTTGTCATGGAACCTCGAGTCAGCCGAGATCGCCTAAAGTGAGATAATTAGTAATGATGAGGTTGTTATCACAATTTTGCTCAATTCTGACTGGATGCCAGCGCGACACAGGACAAACATGAGGTTTATAGTAAGTTTGCCCCATACAAACTCACCTTTTCGTTGTGTGACTATTGAAGATGAGGAAAGTTTAGGCCCAAATCATTTCCGATGCTCGGGTACCTTACATTTTGTTTTGAAGAGGCGAGTGGAATAAATTGTCGAGTTAACCTCACCGGGAGCTGTGCATGTAGATTTGTGGGAATAGGTCCTCGACGCAACGTCATGTGATCGCGATCAATCCTTGCTGGTCTTTCGTCCGTCATGTGATGGACATCGTCAGAGCCAGGAAGCATTATTCCCGAAAAATCACACAAAAAGACTAAACCGAAAAAGAGTGGTCAGCTAAATTCCTACTTTTTATACCTCACTTTGCGATCGTAATGAAGCATTGCATGATTTGGTTGGCTGACTCATGCCTGTCCCACATGCATTAAGGCAGGTCATAGTAATGCAGGAAAGGGAGAGGATGCATTCACAACTTTTGTGTATGTAAAAATAAACCAGAGTATGATCCTGTTTTCCTAGGGCTTGGTACAGCTTCGTGGATGCGTGTTTGCGTGTGTATGCAACAACCACGAGTTGGTTGACAATTTTAGTTTTAAAAACACTCTCCAGTTGAGTCTACTCTTCTCCTCTTACTCAGTCATTCTTCCTGTTCCATTTCATCCTCTATTTCTCTCTCTCTCTCTCTCTCTCCCTCTCATTCTATTTGAAAGCCAGAGATTCTTCTTACTTAGTTTCTACATTCGTTCTTTGTTTTATTACTTTCAATTGACAGCCTCATCTTACGTTTAGCAAAACGTTGGGACTTGGACCACTTTATCTGGTGTCCTCTAGCGACCACACGTTCAGCCACTTCGGATTTCTGAACCGATAAACCTTTGCAGGCAGTTCTGTGTTTTGATGGCCTCTTCTGTATGGGTCGACAAGTCTCCTACACATAAACACTACCACATGAGCACAAAATCTTATAACAACCTGATCTGCAGAGGGCGTCGGAAGAATGAGAACTTGAATCCCCTTAAAGGTGGCATAAGATGATAATACATTGTTGGTTGCCTTAGTTACAATATTCTCATTCCAATTAAGCCTAAGCATTAGCTAAAATCACTTGAGGAGAAACCATAATGTCTAAACTCTTTATTCATATGTTTTATACGATCGAGTGTAAATCACGTTGTCGATTGTTGGGAGAAATAAAAGTTGTACCATTACGATTTTTTCGGGGATGTAAGAAAGTGAGCCAAGGGCTATTTGGCAAAATCCAAGGCAAATCTTTTATGAAATTCCCACCAGCGTAATCCCTATTAATTTTGCTGAGGGAAAATTGAAATATCAGCTCTAAAACCATTATAATTAGTAAGGTTTTAACCAAAATTTTATTAAATATTCAATAATAGTCATTTTAATATGCTTACCTCCAAGGCGAAGAATGATACACCGAGTAAGATGGCTTCTGCAATGCTAGAAAAGTAGAAGCATCTTTGCTGCTCTAATCTCTAAGAGTGTGTATACAAGCATAAAGGGAACTGCCACTTACATTGAAAGTCATTGACTAGTATAATTTATGAAAATTATGTAATCAGAAAAAAGTGATGTAGTCGAATTTAACAGCAAATATAACTTTCGAAAAAAAGAGTTTTTGTGGCCCTAGTCAGCATAAGATGATAGACCTTACAACTCCATTGAGTTTCTCTTGGCACAGCTTCCCAAAAGGTATGAATATGTAGAATGGACTTCAATTTCGACCTAGCCTGGGACTCGAACCCAAGTAGCGCAACGTAAGGCCAACTTTAATTGAGTTGAAAAGCCCACTAATATAATTTTGAATACATCGCATGTTACTGATTTACTGGTAGTCTCGAAACTCTACTAAAATACGAAAAATAAATAACTTATTCGAGTGTTATAGCAAATATACGTTTGCCTCATCGCCAATCCCACCAAAAAATATATGATATGGCAAAAGGCCTGGCTTTCCTTGAAGTTCACCTCTGCCCTGTGACCCAAGGACACTCGTGGCAGAGGGGTTAACGTGTCAAGCTCCCATTCTGCACTGTCCCGGTTCGACTCCCGCTGGGGGTGTTGATAAGACCGAGGCGAGGTCGAAGCTGCAGTCCACTGGTGCCTGGATGACAACAACTTTTGGGAAAGCAATGCTACGTGAAATTCAATGGGAACATCAGCTCTACTCATATGCTCGTGGGAAAATTCTACTACCAGTCCTTCATCGCATTAAACGAAATAGTGTGAATGCAACTCATATAACTCTCGAAACTCAACTTATTTACGGAAAGTTACATTCCTTAATCAGAACTAAGACTGGACTTAGGCAACTTTTGGCCAGTGCTCTTAGCTCGGGAGACTTCCTGAAACTTTAGAGTATAGCGGATAGTTGACATGATAAGATTTTCTTACAGGTTAGGAAGACACATGATAAGTAATGTAGAAATTTGGGTATAAGAATTAACTCAAGGAAACGACCCAAGGTTCGAGTCCCGACCGATTCGAGGTCGAAACTGCATTCCACTGGTGCCTAAATGAGAACAACTTTTAGGAAAGCAAGGCTTTGTGTAATTAAATGAAAACGTCAGCTCTACTCATATCATTGTGGGAAAAATTAAATACTAGTCCTCCATCCCCTTAAACGAAATAGAGTGAATACATATCATAAGGTTGAATTTTCGGTCCAATCGAGCTGGAATGGAAATACCTTTTGGAGAGCAAGGCTGAGCAAAGTTCAACGAAAACATGAGGCCTACTCATAGGATTGAGGAAAAGTCAATTGTAGACACGAAAAGCAACTGGGTTTCGATTAATCTTTTGAGATAAGTTTGTTAGAGAATATTTCATTTGATATGAAAATGCATGAAGAAGAGCTCAGAAAGTCACTCTTACCAGAATCTGCCCTACTCATTTGGTTAGATCGACCTTCGAATCTCTAATTCATGCACTTTCATACGAAATCAAAGTCCCTCCAACAAAAAGACAGATATCCAGTCTTAATCAATTTATGCGACCTAGAGCAACCGGAAGTCCTATATTCCATAAATATAAGTTTAAGTCTCTTTTAGTTGCATAATTATGTTTTGAAGACCCTCAGTAGATCAGATAGCGAAGATATATTCAGTCTATTTTTTTTAGGATTATGAAGGACTTATAGTTGTATTTTTCCACAATTTTAATTGATTGGACCTCATGTTTCATACGAAATTGCATTCTGCCTTTTTGACCTTGCCTGAAAGGGTATCATCAGCCCCCCAATCGGGGATCGAATCCAGCTTGCGGTACGTTAACCATTACGTCACACTTCAGCGAGTACTCTTGTGT